CATCACCACCACCCCCACCATCTTCATCACCATCATCACCACCATCACCACCACCACCACCACCATCACCACCACCACCATCTTCATCATCATCATCACCACCACCATCACCATCACCATCACCACCACCATCACCATCATCATCCCCATCACCATCACCATCACCAACACCCCCACCATCACCACCACCACCATCACCATCATCTTCACCACCATCCTCATGGCGATGGTGATGATAACAATGATTGATTTATAATTGATTTATAATTCATAATAACATATCATCATCATAATGATGATGATGATGATTATATGATGATGATGGTCATAGTAAACATAATATGATGTAGGATACAAAAATAAGATAAAAAACTATTTTATCATATAATTATCCATTAAATACCTATATTTCTCTTTTTCGAAAAACTGATATTTTCACGCGTGAAAATAACATGTTATTTTCACATGTGAAAATATCGTTACCATGTGTATTTAAGCTATTAGTTTATAAATAAAAACTTTTTATGATAATAAGAAGCTTGTTAAGTTGATTTTATGGATAATTATATAATAAACAGAATATTACATGGGCGCTTGGAGATACGAAATTTATCTTCTCGTGTTGAAGATCTTTTCAACACTCGAAGGTAAATTTCGTATCTCCGTGCGCCCATGTAATATCCTCTATATAAAAATGGCTTACAAAATTAATGAGTTTTTAGTCTTGAGTAAATTGATTTGAAGCGGCAGACGATCTAATATCAGCCGATAAGAAGTTCCAAAAGGCACATTTCCTTGTCCTATTCTTTTCCTTCTGTTGGCCTAATGGCTTGGAGAAATTCAATTATGACAAAGAACAAAGACCTACTAACTCCGGCGACGGAATATACTATGTTACTATACTACTAGCGGTGCAATGTTTTCTTATTCTAAGAAGTTCAATGAGATTATAACATATTTTTTTGAGATTTCGTCTACACTAATGTATAATTTCACAAAGAAATACTTGTTAAAGCAATGGCACGTGAAGTCTCAATGGTTCATTACCATATGATCTACAAAACTGTTCGCCATTTAATTCAAGCTAGGTCGAATTCTTATCATAATCACTCTACTATCTTATCGAGAGGGTATCTACGCTGCTCGTTACTACTATGCCTTTTATCTGTAGTAAAGAAAGGACTAATGATAGAAAGAGTGGCGTGTGAGTGTGACAATGCGATCTAACTACCGTTATAGATACACCTACTTTATCGTATGGCCGATCTTTCATATCATTTATGATGTCCATAGTTTGGTCGTAGCTAATGTCTTCCAGTTTCAGATCACATGTCATTATCATTAGCTAGTATTAGGTATTATTAGAGTTATGCTCGAGGGCATGTATAAGTGCCACTATCTATATCAAAGTAACCACTAACTCAATGGTATCCATTATATCATCTACCATCATCCACTTTAACAGTTATTTACCGGATACTGACTTACATTGAATAAATAAAGACCAAAAAACCGGGCGTCTCAAATCAACTCGTTAGAATTATGGATGAAACTGATGGAGATATCAAACTGTTAAATTCAATTAATAGAAATGAACGGGATGGGAATTGGATGGAAAATGGAAATAAAAATAGGAAGAGAAAGATGGGGATCCGCTTCCCGTGAAACCCGATCCTCTGAGCAGCTGTTTTTGTCGTTTATCAGACACATTGTCTTATTGTATAGAGTTGCGTCCAGGCTTATTATATTTTCGACTAGCAAGCTAAGCCATTATCTACAATCTAAAGTCTTGTATCATTCCAATCATAGGTTCTATAAGGCTTCCAGTATAGTTATTTATAACTGGATAGGCAAATCCTTTTGTCCCTTTGAAGGAAAAAACCGTTTCATTGTATTTTGGTATTCCATCCTGTCATTATCATCCCTCAAACGATTGCTGGTCAAAATCACTTGGAATATGTAGATTTATTAATTCGCGCATGTCTAATGATTGACGCGATAAGGAGAACAAGGGCAGTCGCCTGTGTCTTTGAGAGAGAAAGTTAACCTGTTCTCTGCTGCGCGCGAATAAGATTGAGTAATAGAATAATTTTATATAGCTTGACTAATCTATTTGAAAACAATTGCTTTTAATTCTAGTCCAATTCACCTGCCCTTGGTAGAGGTTATTTGAAGCTGAAGTCAGAGGCGTTTGAAGCAGTTAGGACCACGCAGTCTAAAGATCGGGATCATTTAAAAGAAGGGCGAGACTAACGACCCTTTTCATACTCAGATTCATTCGAGAAGACTTGAAACAGGAAGCTTACCCATATAGACAAGGCTAACACATCTGGGGGAAAAAACAGTCTAAAGAGAAGAAAGAAAAAACTGAGGTCTTGAATGAAAGCGCAAAAACGCCATGGAGTCCATATCGAATAATTTGTCCTACAACAATTACTCCAGAGATAACATTGCTACTTACATCCACCATAGACCAACATGGTACTGGATTTCGATTTCGTTTGTGTCCATAATAACCACGTTGGGGAATTCTCTCGTTATTTTTCTCATTACTTCAAAGAAAACCCTTCGAAGCCGAGTGTCTCCGAACTTGTTCATCCTGTCGCTTGGAGTTGCGGATTTTTTAGTCGGATCTTTTAATATTCCTGCTCTTCTCCTGTGTCGTTTTGCGATACGTTGTGGCAACGTGTCCTTGTCGATTATATACTCTTTCATTCCGTTGTTTCTAACATCAGCGACGGTTAATGTTTGTTTGTTAACGTTCGATGTGTATTTAGGTGTCTTTCATCCATTCTTCTATCCTAATCTCATGTATCCCTCAAGAGTTCGCCTTTTAATCGCATTTGCATGGCTGCTATCGGTCATTCTCAACATCCCAACGTTTATAACAGTCTGGAACGAGTTTGATGATAAAAGCGCCGGTTTCGCAGATCAAATATTGACACTTATTTTCTCTGTTCTCGCTAGTGGGTTTCTAGTGTTTGCGTACGCTCGAATACTTCGAGTGGTAAGAATACATCGACAGCAAATCAAGAAACATGAAACACAGCTTGCTACGAACTCTCTAAGCTTCCATTCTGCTATAAGCCCGTCCATTGCGTCTGGACAGAACGAACAAGTGCGGAGAAAGTACAAAGATGGTACTATTACAGCCACAGGATTTGTGACACTGATATTCCTAGTGTGTAATGGATTTTGGCAATACTATTTAATACACAGAATCTGGCCTGAAGCTTTTCCTATTTCCTATCCATTGATATACCTGATTCGACTTCTGGTTTACTGCACGTCGTCTATGAACTTTGTCGTATATGCGCTACTGAGAAAGGATCTGAGAGAGGAACTTGAATCGTACGTTAAAAAAATTTACAACAAGTTTGCTGGGAAAAGGATCACAGCAACAACTGAACAATGACATTAGGCAGATAATTTTAAAATGGAGAGAATGAACAAAAGATATATTATTTGGGTGAGATATATTTCATGATATAGCACATGTATAGACCATGGTTAAAAAAAGTAACATTGCGACTATACACGAGATCTCGAGGCCGTATATCTTAAATTTTAAAGCGATGTACGATAATACTGTGAACATTTTGCGATGTCATTGAACATTTTGAAATCATGCCTGAGTATGTTCACAGTTTTTGGTTAAATGAAAAAATATACGAGTCAAAAATGAACTCAGGATTTTTAAAAAGGAAGGTTGCAAAATGGCCGCGACGCCGAGCTTTGTAGCTGGCGCGATTGGCTATTAGAAAGGGGAATTCCAATTTCATTCTACTATGTAGTACTGAGCAAAAAAAAAAACGTGGTTTGCTCCACCAAGGGAACTTGATGGAACCCATAGTACTACCCCTGGATCCTCTACTACTATCATTTATCTTCAATTATTACCTTTAAAAAAAAGTTTGAAATAAAACTATGTTTATAAGTAACTGGAAAAAAAAAAAACAACATGCAAGGCTATAACTATGTCAGTATTCGCTGATGTGGCATACATGTCGCATTTGACAACACGTACGTTTTTCCCTTCGCTGAGTAAGATATCAAGGAAGTAAAAATGATACTCAAAGAAATATTTATCGTATAAATAATTTTTACTGAAAGAAATATTGATAGTATATAAGATTAAGCCAATGTGAAGTTATAACGATTCAGTCGGTATGCATATAATTATTGTAGTATCAATATAGATTGATTACATTATTTGATTATGTACATACATATATATATATATATATATATATATAGAATG